TTGGGGTGTCTCTTCAAAATAAAAAGCATGAGCAGGTTTTTCCTTTGCATTTTGAACAATAACTTTTTAATTAATTTTATTAGACTTCCATATATGTGGCTCCTAAGATGAACAGACTTAAAATTTTATTGAATTATGGAATGATTCCAGTTCAAGTGCTTTGTTGGAGGCAGTTCAGTCTAGTTGATTTAACTGACTACTGACATTACAGCTGTTTTGGGAAGTGTGTTGCAGCGTGTTTGCAGCATGCCCTCCCATTCCCTTTCTTCTCAGCTCCATGCTGCCCTTCCTTGGCCTTTGGTGGGTAGTATTTTCCTTCAGCTGCTTAAATTTGGACTCTAGTTCCCTCTGTCTGCGTAGCTAATACCTTTCCTCCAGTGGGACTCCTTGTCTGTGGTGTACACTATGCTCTGGGCAAGAGTTCTTAGAAAAGGGTGGTTCTTCCTCTGTTCTTCAAGCTCCTATTTGGGAGAGGCAACGCCAGGTCTTCCCAGCCTCCCGCTCCTTAGGTATCGGGTACCCAGTAGTTGTTTCTTGCAGTCCTGTCTTCCCTGGGTAAAGGGGATAAAAAGGACATACTACAGGACTTTTTGTCTTGGGCTCTAGTAGTGTCTTCTGCTCTTGCTAGCACAGTTTACTTGCTGCCATGTGGGAATTTGATTGCAGGTGAGGGCTGACAAACCTGCAGAAGGCAGAGTGTGTCATCCTGGGAACTTCTCAGGGGTCTTCTCTCACAGAACAGCTCAGTGAAGATAGTACTTATCCACAGATTTCATTATGAATCCTTTCTTTTAGTAATACCAAAAAAAACTTTATGGAACCAGATGTTTGTTACAGATGGAAAAATGAACATAAGACAAGAGCAAGATCCTGATTTATTCACTTCCGTTGTCATTTTTATGAAAGTTGGTATCAGTGAATAGGTCCGGATTTAGCAGCTGCTTGGAAAATGCCCAGTATGTACTGCTTTTCCACAAGGGCTGCAACTGAAACAAGATTTAAACGTCGGTAATACATATCCTGTAAGTGTTCAGTCTTAAAGCCTGGTTTACTCATTGCCTGAATAATAACCGATAAACCAGTAGTTTTATTTTAGTCTCTATTCTGAAGATGATGGATTTTAGACACTATGTTACGTGTTTCCATATTAGAATACTTAATTTTAACAATGCCTTTTTTTGAAGACTGGTGAATTCGACTTGAACCATAAGTAAAATGACATGTTGTAGGATAATAGTGATATTAATTCTTGCAGACGAAACAGTTCAAGAATCCTGTGCTTGATAGCTTTCAAAGAGGTATATTGAAAGCTGGAGAAGTACTCAAGGCACTCACAGGAGATGGCAAAAGATAAGGAGAATTCATTATTTGCAGTACATTTGTATGCTGAAGCTCAGCTGGAATTGCTCTATAAGAGCTGTACCGACACATAATGCAAGAGTGTTCCTTCCTTGAAAGGTTTTGGGTGCCCCCTCGTAAGATGAGTTTATGTCTGTGTGAGAGCACATGCTACAGTTACAGCTCATCTCTGTGGTGGGACAAATGGGTGGGAGACTGTTACAGTCACACGTTATTGCACTTTATACCTCCTTCAGCACAACAATTTAAGATTGGGGTGATGGGATCTTTTGAGATGCTGAGTCAGAAAGGCTTTTTGTGTGTTGCTTGTTTTCCCTGCGGGTGGATTTGTGATGTAGTTGCTTACGTTTCATATACCCCATCATTGGTTTGTGATGTGAGCATTCGGTGTTACCTCTAAAGAGAAATGCTATAACTTGTTCATTTCCTATTTTCCCCTTTTATAAGGGAAAGTGAAGTAAGCAAAGAAACTTCATTTACTTGTCTCTGACAGCAGATTTTAGCAAGGGACAAAAATTTCGCTTGTTTTTCTGTATGATGATAATGAAAAAAAAAAATTACTTCCTTCCCCAGCAATGAGAATATTGAGTACATAGATGTCGAGACATCTATTTAGCTACTATTTAGAACTTCTGTTAATTGAAAATGGCCCCTCAGTCAATATATGCTACTGTCTCTATTGGGTTACTTGGAACCAATTTCTATTAACTAAAGATTCTCTACGAATGTTTGCTAGTAATTTGGAGGAACTAATAAACTAATGTCATTTTTAGTAGATGTTTTATTAAGGCATTTCCTTTCCCAAATTAAGTAATAAACAATTTATTTCCCTTATGTTCCACAGCAGAAAACCTATGATATCAAGATCGATTCTAAACTTAGCATTAGTTGAGGCCTCTTGCATAGCGTATAGAAAATAATACATTGAACTTGCATTAACTGAAATGGACTGCTGTCTATTAAAACCAGTTTTTTATTCTCTCCTTTTCTTTGCTAGTTTCATGCAATGGATACACTGCATAAACACAACTATGATTTGAGCAGTGCCATCAGTGTTCTAGTGCCACTTGGAGGGCCTGTCTTGTGTAGAGATGAAATGGAAGAGTGGTCGGCATCGGAAGCTAGTTTATTTGAGGAGGCGTTGGAAAAGTATGGCAAAGACTTCAATGACATTCGACAAGACTTTGTAAGTACGAATGTAGTACGCTTTCCTGTTACTGTGTTTTCACATGGGTGAGCATAGCTGTTTTCTGTAGGATCGGAAGCTTAGCTAGGGGAGAAATCTATGTAGCTGATAAGTAATTAACATACATATACATTTTATCTGGATGCAAGTCAATATGCTATCTTCTTTGGTGCTGTTCTTTGGAAAGATGTTGACAGAAGATAACCTGTTCAATGACTTAATACCAGATAGGATGTCTCATGCTGATGTGTTTTGGTAAGGATTTTTACAAGGATTTTACAAGCATCTGAAAAAAGTCCCAGCAGCTTTTCAGAGCTTTTTCACAATTTCCAATGAAATTCATTAGCAGCTACATGGCTGACTCCCCTGGGTGTTTTTCTGGGGTTTCCCTCTATGGTTAGCGGAGAGAAATTCATACTCAGAGAGCTTTTAAAGTGCACTACAGGGAGTTATTTTGACATATTAGGTATTTTGGCACTTGTGAAAAATCAAGGAAATATTTTCCAATATATTCTAACTACACTATTTTTGGTACTGCAGTATCAGACTGTAGGGCAGCAAAGCTTTAATTTGCTGCATTCTCATGCAGAGTAATTAAAAGAAATTGGTTCTAACACCAATTGCTGGAATTGCTAGTAATCTATTTGCAATTTTTTTCTTGCATGTTTCTTGGAGAGCCTCTTTCAAGGAAAAGGATTTCCTATGTTGTACTAAGTTCAGGTTGGGCTTTGTGAAACAAGTTAGGATTTGATCCAAAGGAATTCCACTATTTAAGACGGAAGTCGATTGAAACAGTTTAACAACTCGTTCTGCTTGACTCTGACAGCTTAGAGTTTTTTATCTTTGCAGATATTATTAATAAGGTGGGGGACGATGGGACGGACAGTACTGTGTGGTAAATGTAGATATGGTAAATGTAGAAATCCTTCCAAGACAGAGCATGAGACAGCAGGAGGAGGCTGGGCACTCAGCAAAGCTGTCTTTTCTTCACTTCCACAGTTCTGAAATGAAACAGATAATTGAATAAAGGGGGGACGGGAAGGCTATTTTTTTCTGAAGAACTGACATTTTAACAGGTGTATTATATCTGCATGCTTAATTTTGAGATCCCTAATGTTCACTGCATTCATCACATAGGGTTGAAAATTGGATCATGGATGAAATAGGTCTGTTAAGTTCAAGAAAATATGAGTGAAAAAGAATATTTTATAGAGTTTTAGAACTGAAATCTTAATGTAAACTACAATTCCTTATTATTTCTCATACAGACAAATGGTCCTCAGCTGTAATTGTACACAAGTTCAGTAGCTATGCCTTCTAACTAAATATTTCCTGCTATATAGTATTTGGCTTTTCAAAATTCCTAAAGTTTATATTACAGATTTTGTCAGCTGTTTACAAGTTGAGTCCCAACATAGTTTGTGACTAAGTATATCTAAGCTTTATCTCTGTTATTTATGTAGTATTTTTATTTTCTGTATCATTTCTGTGTTGTGTTATATGTAATTTTGTTGATATACATACATTAAAGTGATACAGTAGAGTAATACGTTGCAGGAGTCACGTATGCATTTGTAATGTTCAAATGCTGGATATTTGAGTGAGTCTACTAGAAGCTCTTTAAATTGTTCAGTTTTTATCTCAGGTAGACTCCTGACACGCTCCTTCTTTCACTGAACCTTCCTTCCCAAAATGCAGATGTTTTCTCTTATTGCCCTCCCAAAGGGAGAGACACGCACAGATCTACAGATAGGGTTGCGTAGCCTCGTGAGGGCATGTTAATGATGAGCCAAAGTGCAGCAGAGATAGATACGGGTTACTAATTAGTTAGAGTCTCATTTAGTTAGAACTGGGATGTTGTCTATCCTTAAATCAGGTTTTTTTAACCTTTGGAAAAGTGGCATGTCATTTTTAAAACACGATTAGAAGAACATATATTTTACGTACCAATTTCTATGGTATTGATAACAGTGCACACAATTTTGATCTAATTATATGTAATTTTGAAGCTCTCAGTTACATTAATCATTGTGTAATCTTGGGATATCCTGATTTCTCTAGAGTAAAATTTACATGTTGTCACTTGCTATGTAGCATTCTAAAGGTATAGGGATTTAAAAAACAAACGTTTGGTTTTAAGTAGTCATCTAAAATAGTCCTTCAAGATTTAGATCATGGATATATGAAAAGTTCCTGCAGGGTGAGGTAGGTGTAAATTTGTAGCACTTAAGCCGTGGTTATGCAGAAGAATACCTTTATCTATTATCATCACTCTCTTCAGTGGCTAGTCTTTGAAAATTAAGTACTCTTAGATGTGGTGAAGAAAAAAAAAAAAAAAGGAAGCACAGACAAAAGAAGCTAATGCACTGGTACATGCTGACCTGTTTTGAGTGTCCAGGCAGGTAAGATCGAATGATAAAATTACATCCTACGGTGCCTGAGACTAAACTTGAACCTAAGCAGTCACACAGTGGTGCCAGGGCACAGTCAAGACCGTCGTGTCGCACGGCAGAAAGTGGTTGGTTGCAGTCTCCGAAGGCAGAAGGGTCATGTAGTACCTGCTTGAGTCATGCTGTGCCAAAGGAGGTGCCTTTTCTGAGTTGTCCTGAATTTGCAAAGCATGGCAGCTGCAATTGCAGCCCTTTTGTGGTAGTTCTCTAGAAGGCAGGCTCATTTACTTTTCCAGCAATTAGTAAGAACTGGTGCTGTTTGATATTCAGTGTGCAGCTCAAGCATAGGCTATAAACATTAAATATTAGTAAGCAAGACAATTATTTTAAATTAAATGGTGTAAAGGAGTTTACCTTTTTTTAATAGACAGAAGCTCATTTGTTATCAAATTGCCAGTGTAGCCTTTGAATAATCATTTTCATCAGCTGTTGACTCATCAACTGTTATTGAGCTCATTTGTTAAGGTTCTGCTTTCTTTAAGAACCTATGTGAATCCTAATCAACCTGAAGTTTTTAAGTTAATTGAATTTATTTGATTTACTTGAATTACTTCACATCCCAGGGCATAGAATGGGAGAGGACTGAATATTTTATGTTCTCCAAATATAACTGTTTTCATAATGGTAAGAGACAGCTGTTACGCTTGTTAATTCTTAGTTTTTCATTATCACCGGTTTTCACAAATTTGTAACTGTTGTGTCTCAAATATGGCAGGAAGGGCCTTGGGAATCAGACTTGAACTGTTTATGGAAAACAAGAGTAACTGTTTTCCAACTTCAGAAAATGGTGGAGACATGCCTTAAAGTTAACATGTTCATCTTAAGATACTTCATAAGCGTACGTGTTTCATGCTGGTCACATTTGAGTGGTCCATTTTTACTCTGCAGAAGCTAAAGAAACTGAAAATTCCCTTTCCCTGTTTTTGTGTTGCTGACACCCCTTTGCTAATTTTCTCTTATAAAAACATCACACAGATGGTCATTTTCCTTCTTTCAATTAGCGTTTAATAAAGTTTGGTCATGAGAGTATGTTATTCTGTGGCTGTTCACAGCTTCTCTGGCAGTTGAGAGCAACCTCTGGAAAATCCGCGTACCTTTGCAGTGCTTTGTCCTTTAGGTGCGTAAGGTAAACAGAACACAGGAAAGTTACACTCAGTCTGTCAAAAGGTTTTCCGAGTTGTGAATCAAAGTGTAGAAGGATTATGGTTATCCAGTCTAAGCACCTGAATTATCTTTAATTGTAGATGCCTGCTGAGTGAATGAACATACATACGTCACAACCATAGTTAAAACAGGTTAAAGTATTTTCTAGAGAAATGTCAAACGTAATCTGTAGCATGAATGTGTTACTAAGTGTTCAGGAAGGAAAATAAATATGGAGATGCTAAAATGTACTCGTTGACAATGGCAGGTAGTTGGGGTGACAGTGTTTCATCTTGATGTCAGGGAGAACGTGGACCTGGAGACTGAGAAGCAGCTCACCTGTCGCCTCGCAACAAACACATTCCTGTCACTGGCCTTTTCGTGGGCAGATTTCTCTTACGGCATAATTTGCCTGAGAAAGGAAAAGGATTTTAGTAAACTGAATTATGTTGCTGTTTACTGGAACATCAGCTTATGCATTTGTTACACTGCTACTTTTTAATTAAATGCAAATGGACAGGGATTTACACACTGTGGTACACTGCCTGAGGAATAACTCACAGCTGAGACCTGAATCCCAGCTCCTGAAAAGCAGAGGTGGGAGCTGGACTCACTGCCTGTAAGACTCTGCAAGCAAGCAGCGTGAAAAATTGGCTGTGAGCTCCTGCATGTGGGGAGAGGCAGCTTGATAGGGTGTTCCTCTGCTGTTTTAGCAACTTAATTAAAGGTTCAGGAATCTATTCTTTTGGCTTAGGACGTGCAGAAAGCCCCAAAGTGGAATGAGTAAGGTTGGAAAGAGAAGTTTATGCATGCTTCTAGAAAACAGGTTATGAAGAAAAAGTGCATGGATTTCATAAGAGAATTATTAAATTATAGAAAGATTTATGGAGCTAAATAGATTACTTGATAGTAATTAAAATTGGCTGCTGTATGCTTAATTTTCTCCCCTAAACTTAGGCTAATATGTTTTCATACTGATGAATGTGTGCACCCAAAGTAATCATCATCAATTACCTTGAGTTTGCAGAGATTTTTATGATGTATTGTCAGTATCATTCTTGTTGCTCAAGGTTGCATTTGTCCCAAGCATCCTTTTGGGTTTTGTTTAATGGTTGAGACTCTGTGGAGGTTTACGCAAAACTAGTGGTATTGTATGAGCAGCTGAGTTGTTATGGGACTTGAAAAACCTGTGAATTATGTACAGAAACCAAGTAAAATTCTCATGAGACTCAAGTGCAGTCTTGACAAGATGATTTATTTTAGTCCTGATACACTTTATAGTAGAGATATTACCGTCTGTGTTTCCTGATGGAAATCTGGATTCTGTTTTGATCATTTTGTTTAACCGTATGGCTTAAACAGAATAAATTACACTTGGATTTGGATGTATAATATTGTTGTAGTTCAGCATCCTTGTTAAATATAAGGAAAAGTTGTGTATTATTAATAGTAATATGTATTCATTTGCACATGGATTTTAATGTAGGTATTTAATACATTCACATTTTAGTATTTTTATATCAACTATACTTTTAACATGTGTTTTAGTAAGATGTGGACATTGCAGTTTCTTGGAACCACTTTAATTTGTAACATGTTTTTCAGCTCCCTTGGAAGTCGCTGACTAGCATCATTGAGTACTATTACATGTGGAAAACCACTGACAGATATGTGCAGCAGGTAATGTAACGACTATTTCAGCGTGAACCAGTCTGCCACGTTTTTAAAAAAATCTGAACTTGTTAAAGGATAAAAATCTGTTTATGTTCTTAAAAAGAAATACAGTGGGAGGCCTATGGTAATATTTTAGGCTATAGATCAGTGGTTTTGTGCTGTTCACAGGGTGCATTGTCAAATCTTCTGATGCCTGCTGTACATCACATAGCTGTGAAGAGCTTTTAAAGCCGTTTGTATTGTACGCTGGTTCGTAGCAATGTGATTCCTGGTTCTTACTGCAGTATGGGATAATAAGGAGATGGATTGCAGAGCAAATGCTTTAGGCTGTGAAGCTGTGCATGGGACTGAAGGAAAAGGAAAACTACATTGTGTTAAAGTGGCTGCTAATGTTGTGAACCTTTTATTGGTACTCCACTGTAAAACATTATTTTGACATTACGAGGATTTAAAAACAAAGTGGAGAACATTCCACACATAGTGGATGTGTTCATCCTTCTGATTGAATGTTCAATTGTTTGGGCTGCTCTGGAGCAGAAATGTGATAAGATTAGATTGGTACCAACACTGGGATATTTTAAGCAGTTTCAGGCAAAATTTCAGTGTTGGTGTTTTTTATATATTGCACTCTTTATGTGTTTACTCCTTGGTTTAGATACACAAAATATTTTAAAATACTACATTTTAATTCATGATTTAACATTTAAGTTTGTACCTTCTTTGCTTGCTGCATAATTAGTGACGATGTTATGTACAGCACGTTGAAAATAAGTTTTATCCTGTAATGATTGCAGCTGTATTGTTAGCTGGATCTTTGGAATTGTTCAAGGTTTGGTTACAGTGTGTCGGAAGGATAATTGCTTCAGGTTGTTCTGGTTTATTTGAAAGCACATCTGCATCATCTTTTTAGGGTATTGAAAGTAAAGGAAACATCTTTTACCATATATTAGAGTCTTGGACTGTCACTAGGACCTTTTAGTTCTATGGATAATACAAATAGAAAAAAATATGCTGTGTATAATCTGCTGTTTTTCCGAGTTTGTCATCAGTCATTTAATTTCTAACACTTTTTTTGCACTGTTAAGCTTTATCCTAGAAGGGTATTGCCAGTAGAGACTTGCTGTGCTGTTTGTCAGCTCTTAAGGATGGGGCAACGGATGACCTTGAAGAATCAGATAAAAAGATTTTATTGATACTGAAAGCCATGGAGTAAGGATAACTTGAAGTGCAGATTGACTCTTGTCAACACTCTTGTGTTGCTTGGAGACTGAGCTTGTTTCCTGTGAAATTTTTCTGAAATACTTGCTCTGGAGTGGTTGGTGAAAGACTGAGACTCCCCTTTCTAAAGTTCCCTAGGGCTTCATTGTGATTCTGTTGCTACAGTGATCAAGGTGTGTGATGGTGTGTTGAGTTTGTGTATCCTTTTGCAGGATTAGGTTTTAACCTCGCGTACAAGAAAAACACATAGGCTTTATGGTTATCTACAACTTGACTACTCTTATAAATCCTTGTGTTTTACTTGTAACTAAGTAAACTTAGAACATCCTAACTCGGAACATAGCAGTACACCACAGGATTTAATGCTGTAGACATATTCTTTCAGGGTCATGCGTGATCATGAATAACAAAACCAGCATAGGCCAAATACTTAATTTCTATCCTGGTTAACATTTCTGTCATCTTTCCTAACGAGAGATCAGGACTTCATCCTGCCCTTGTTTAGTTTGTTCTGGAATGGCACAAATAATACAGTTCAGTAAAAACGATATCTGTAGGGTTTTTTTCCCCACTAGAACAAGCTGTGATACTTGAATGCATTTCAGGGAGGAAATCTGTTCAGTGAGAAAGTGGCAATTTCAGAGTCATTCTTCTCTAAATATCATGCTTGAGGGTTAGGGCAGCTTGGGGGAATGGGAAAACAAAAAGGTCGATGTACATTCTTGAATCTTATGCATAAAGTACAGTCTCTGAATTCCAGATCAGTCTGATTTAATATGAAGATTTGCTCTTTAATTATCCTTATTTCTTTGTGTGAGTTGGCTACATTGTGTCAGGCATAAGAAAGGTTTCCTTGTCATAATTGCTACTAAATGTTATTCTTGCTTGGTAGCTAAAGGTGGTGATTTAATGGCAGTGGAGATACTGCTGCCACTTTGCCTTCAGGGCATGTTCCCTTCAAATCAAGGTGAAGGGAAATAGATCTGTTAAAGTTCTCAGTCTGTGCTCAGCCTGTCAAGCAAAACTAATTCAGGCTTTGGGTCATCATTCTTGGTGATATGGCACTTTTCATGATCACTATATTATATAGTGTTTGAGGAAGGCCAGGTGGCTCATTCCACTGAATGAAATGTGTTCTCATTATTGGTGGTGTTCCCCTTAAAACTCTGATTCAATGCAAAAAGACTTTTACTGAGACGTTCCAACAGAAAAAGGGAGAATATATGTAAGGATAACTAAATTACTGTACTACAACGATATATTAGATTTCCTTCTCATTTATTTATTTCTACTATAGAAAACAGTGCTGACATAGGAAAATGGTCATTTCTTGGGATGTTTGTCAGTTGTTATTTGTAACAAAAGTTCTTAAAAAGAAATAATGTTCCATTTCAAGGGTAGTTGATTAGAAGTAGTAGAGTCCAGGAGAAAAGCTGGGTTAGCGTAGCTTGACCTCCCCTATAGGGCAGTCTGTAAGACTTGTTTGAAATAGTTATTGTTTAAGATCAGATATATATATTTTTTTTTTCCAGGAAAAGCATCAGCTCCCATTGTTACATTGCTCTGGTGATTTATTACGCGTATTGTTACAAACTGGTGCTTTGTTTCTTGTCTAAATGTTTTTCAATTTCAGCTTCCAGCCTTTACAGTTTACCAGTTTTCATCCTCTAAATTTCAACAGGCAGAGGTTTCATCTCAGAAATTACAACTATTTGTTGATAGTTTTGTTTCTGCATCCTTTCTTCTCTCTTGGTACTTAAAAGTTGATAGGTCAGTGTGAATTCAAGCTGTGGCATTTTCTGTTGCTTTTACAGAGCAATGGTAACCATAGTTTTAGTGCATAAAAATATAGCTTATACTGAAATAGCATTGTGTCATCATTTTGTAGAAGGTAGTGTATCATTCACTTTAGTAAATAAAGGGGAAAGCAATTGCTAAAATTGCATTCCTTACAACCCCCCTGCCAGTACTAAAAGTATGCTAAGATTTAATTAATGTGTATAGTCAGTTCTCACTGACACTGCCATCAAGGCTGCTTAATACAGCTTCCTACAAATGCCTTTACATTTTGACAGTGCTTTGAGGCTACTTTCCTCATTTCTTTCCCTTTATTTTGTTTTCCTCTTTTGCTTTGATGATCTTGCTAGGTGTGCAGTGAGATTTATTCATTCTTTTTGTAGAACGGGACCAGTGAGTTATGAACCTGTGTGGAATGCATGTTACCTGCTGACCTGTAGTCTCGCATGCTTTTTCGGTTTGAAAACAAATTCTGTATTGTTGGCTATAATATGAAAGGGAAAAAGAGACGGTTGTGGAAAGCCTGTGGCCTGAAGCTGTTAAGCGGAAAGAGTTCACCATGGAGGGCTCTTCTGCTGGGGCTGTGAAATGTTCTCAGATGAAAAACTATCAGTTTCTGAGACTTGGGGTGGGCTGCTGCTGTTCTTTCTTTTTGCTTGTGTAAAAACTGACGGTAGCAGGCAGGGCATACTGCGTTTGCATTTCTGCTGGGAGCCTGTTGACGGTGGTGCAGTGTTGCCAAGCCTGGTGCTGGGCAAAGTCTGCAACTGTGCCAGATGTGTCGATGGAAGTCACTTCTGTAGCTTTGAACACAGCTAGGCACCTGTGAACAGCAGAAAAATGTTGGTTTGGGTTTGGGTTTTTTTTGTTTGTTTTTTTTTTAAAAAAGCCAATCTTGGAAATAAATGGCAAATGGCTCTCCTATTGCATGGGAATTAATTTGTGGTGGCATGGACTGGTTAGAACTCTATTTGTCATAGATTGCTCCTCAAAAATGCAGTTTTTATAAATGAGAGTTATGGCGATGGATGGTACAGAGGCAACTTTCTGAAATGGAAAAGAGCAGTGGCTTATGTGAGGAGGCTTACTTGGGCTGCTCCACCAGTGTCCTGCTTTGAGGTACCACGACAACCAGTAAAGCTGATTAACCCTGTAACTCGTCTCATGGCACAGGCAAGAGACTCTCAGGGCAGGCGCCTTTGATGATACTTTTCTAAAGGTGGGAAGTATCTTCCTGGTTTGTGAACCTTGCGAAGATTGGGTATCAGAAAATAGGAGTATACCAGAGAAGAGAATTGGCTGTTGTAGGAGAAATGGATGACTGAGTTTTAAACACCTGATAAAGAAAGGGGCAATCTTGAGAGGCAGGGAGGTAGTGTTGGTCTATTATTGCTGGATATCAATGTCTCCCTTTTTTTTTTTTTTCACTCCTCTGTGATAAAATTGACCTTGTTTCCACTCCTTTTCTCTTTTTTTTTTTTTTTTTATTATTATTATTAAAGTGAACAGAGGTAATGTCTTTAGTACAGGAAGAACAGGGAAATAATCTTTTTACCTTCATCTTTTGCATACAGACAAACATTTCAGATAACCAGTCGACATCTAAACTCTGTATTTCTTGTGCCATTGCTGAAAAAATTATCTTAGTTACTTGTATAATATATGGCAATAACTAAAACTTCTCGAACATTATAAAGTTAGTATTACTAACTTGAGTGCAACATGTTTTGAGTTTGTTGCAAGTATGAAGACATAATTTAAGAAATTCACAGACTATCTTGATAGTAGTGTAGCTGTGTGCTACTGCTGTGTTCCTGAACTACAGTTTAAACAACATGTAAGGGAAGTAGATGTTTAGTTATTTCCAACAGTCAGTGGACTTTACTGTTCCCCTTCCTTATACTGCTTATAAAATACTAACAGAGCCCGCAAGAAATATTGGGTGACACAACCGATGAGGAACTTATCAAGTGCAATTTCATTCATTTATTTTCTGCATATTCTGCAGAGAGGGTTAGCCACAATGTCGTACATGTTTATGTAGGTGTAATTTATGTAAATTGTAATTGTTGCTTTTACAGTTTTGTTGTCGTATGTGAGGCCTGTGAGTTTTACTAGTGAGGACAGTATACTATCATTTCAAACTAATAATACAAATAGAGAACTCATTTTTCCTGGTTTTCATCTTGTAGATTTCTACACTTGTTTTGGAGGCTTTTGTGGAATCACTAAATAGAAATAATTTAAAGATGGATTGTGTGCAGTTTTATGAAATCTTGTACTGGAATATAGTAAAATATTTTAATGTGTTAATTTTTCAACTAGAAACGTCTGAAAGCGGCTGAAGCAGAAAGTAAATTGAAACAAGTATACATCCCCACCTAGTGAGTATAACAATAAAGTCATTTTTTTAATAATGTACAGGTAAAATTGAAACAGTAACATGCAGTTACGTGCAGTAACATGCATGTTATTTTCTTAGTCATCTTTTTACTAGTTACTTTCTAAATTTGTTATATACAAACAGATTATACAGAGTTAGAATCAGAAAATGCCACAAACTCTTGTCGTAAGTGAAACCTTTATATTAACTGAGCCCTTTGTCTTTGAGCTGCAAACTGCCTGTTCTGGAGTGGTGAGAGGTTTTACAAAAAGTAATCAAGTGCTATGTGGACTGTTCATGTGCAAGAAGGGCCTTGTCATTTAAAAAGCAGTTTTTCCAGAATAATTCATTCTGAATCCCTGTAGCACAACACTTCATATTTGTGTAAATGGAATATTTCAAAATAGAAGCAGTTTGTTAATGTAGTTACATAAAATAAAGTCAGATACTTTCCTGTTACAGTTTTATCTTGCTGATACAGTCTGTTCTTCAGCTAGAGACAAGAGATGTTCTGGCTGTAAATTAAAGGTAGCACACAGCCCAAAATCTTTTATCTTTGAACAAGTCTTATTAATGAAATCTGTTTTCTTCTGAGGGGTTCTTAATCTGTTTTTTTTAAGATTTAAACTCGATGCTATATATGCTTTTGTTAACATGTGGTTTAGAGAAACAAGATACAATCTGTCGATTTTATACTCATCATTTCCTAAAGATTATGAGAAAAGAAAGGATTACAGATGACATTCTTTTAAGCTTTCTGTGGGTGTATTCAGTTTACATATATGTGAATTTCCCATTGTTATGAGTGTTTGTATAACACTAGACTAGAATACCAAATGAAATACTTTGAAAATCCACTGTTGTCTTTTTGATGACTTGCATAAATCGCATACAATAGAGCTTAATTTCCATATTTCATACAGACTTTTCTCTCTTAAACAGGTTTAATAATACAAACAGCAGACTGTTAAATTCAGTCTTTTAATCTCATCTCTTAAGAAATGTTGTGGGTTTTGAAGGTCAAGCCTCTAATCATAGATTGGTTAGAGTTGGAAGGGACCTTGAAGATCATCTAGTTCCAACCCCCCTGCCATGGGCAGGGACACCTCCCACTAGATCAGGTTGCTCAAAGCCCCATCCAGCCTGGCCTTGAACACCTCCAGGGATGGGGCATCAACAGCTTCCCTGGGCAACCTGTTCCGGTGCCTCACCACCCTCACAGTAAAGAATTTCTTCGTAGTATCTAATCTAAATCTACCCTCTTTCAGTTTAAAACAGTAACCTAACCTCTTTCAGCTTAAAACAGTAACCCCTTGTCCCATCACTTCATACCCTGATAAAGAGTCTCTCCCCATCCTTCCTGTAGGCCCACTTTAGGTACTGGGAAGCTGCTGTAAGGTCTCCCCAGAGCCTTCTCTTCTCCAGGCTGAACAGCCCCAATTCCCTCAGTCTGTCTTCGTAGGAGAGGTGCTCCAGCACTCTGATCATCTTTGTGGCCCTCCTCTGGAGTCACTCCAACAGGTCCATGTCCTTCTTATGTTGGGTGCTCCAGAGAGGGGTCTCACCAGAGAGGAGTAGAGGAGGAGGAGTAGAGGGGCAGAATCACCTCCCTCAACCTGCTGGGCATGCTTCTTTTGATGCAGCCCAGGATGCGGTTGGCTTTCTGAAATGCAGGTGCACATTGCCAGATCATATTGAGCTTAATAAGCTAATAAACAAGCTAATTAATGAGCTAATAAATGATATAATTTTAAAAAAGCTGAAAACTCTAGTATGAGTGTTGCCTAGCCCTCTCAGGGAAGTGCCTGCTTTAGAAAAACTGTAGGATGCTCAGTCTTTACATAATGCTTTTTAAATTTAATTTCCTTGGTCCATATGGACAATTCAGGACTTTAGCCAATACATTCACACTAAGGACTAGTTGTATTGGATGACAAAACCTGTTTTGAAATGTAGGATTTTTGTGGTTTTTGTCTTTCTTACTGTATGTCTTCTACCTCCATATCAAGACAGACTCCATAGTAATGGGGTGGTGGGACTTCTCAAGTCTTTGATAACTGTGCAGTCTGGGACACTCGTGGGCAAATGGATTGCTAATGCTCTGTTTCAAGACTGATTTATTGTATTTGAAATCCGAGTAGAATTGATTCTCAGAGCTGTATACCTTTTTGAACTTGATCATAAGGTATTTCCTGTAAAAGGCAAGGTTCTGCCCTCAGTACCGGAGTCCCTTTCAATTCATGGCTTCTCTGGAAGGTAACTAAGCAACAGATCATAACGTGGGAGATGTAATCATCTCTTGATCCCTTCTCTTGTACCTTGAGCCCAAGGTACTTGATAAACAGTATCTGGAAATTATAAAAGTGTCTTCCACTGGATATAGTGAAAAAGAGAAGGCAGGAGACAGACTTGCTGGCATTTAGAGTAGAGACTTGATACAGCAAAGGTCTCTTCAATTAGTAATTTTAACTGGTCTTGGATGTATTTTATGCTACCTAAAGTAATGAATAATCATCTTAGGAATCAGTGTATCTAGCCTTGCATTGTATTGAGAGTATCTAATCAAAGGAGTAATTAACACCCACAGAGTTGGAGCTTTGGAGATACTGTACTTAACGTAGTGAGGAGAATATTAATTTTCTCTGAATTAACTGACCTTAAAGTCCCACTTCGCTGAAGTATTAGTAGGTAAAATAATCATCATAATAATATAATTAAAAAAAAAAACCCAGTTCTTCAACCTTTTCAGAGTGAAAGGAGGTTAGGACACAACCCAGGTAGAACAGCCTGATAGATGGGTGAGCTTTGCCAGGGTTATAGGATATTTACATTTACTGCAGTTGCTGGGAAGGTATGTGCTTCCACTTAAGATACAAGACAGCAGCCCCTCTTCTACAGTAGACAGCCTTGTAGTATTATAGTCAATGTTACTGCTGTGACTTGTTACACTTCGCCCAAAGCCCAGCCGCACCTTGTAAAGCTTTGTCTGTTGACTGGAATCCCTCTCTTAAATTCTGTGCTGTGTCAGGCTTATGTTAATGTTTGACCCTGAGACTTGGTCTTTTACTAGCTTGCCAAGTAGCTTAGACCGCATGAGAGCATTTTACAAAGGTCTGTAAATTTGAGTATCAAAGCAGCTCTTCACATAGCAAGTATCTTACAGTGCTGAAAATACTAGAGTATAAAAATTAGTCTTCTTGTTTACAGCAGTTTTTACAGATGTTGTCACCAGACATCAGAATTCCAGAATTAGATTGTTTGTTTTCATGTTGACTAACTGGTTAGTAAAATTATTTTTTTTTATTTATTTATTTAAAGCAATAAACCAAATCCCAATCAAATATCCAGCAGCAATGGGAAACCCGCTGCAGTCAATGGAGCAATGGGAGCCTCGTACCAGGCACAGGCTTCAATAGTAGGTCGGGCTTGTGAAAGTTGCTATAGTAAGTAAATTTTTAAAAATAAATAAGAATACTATTTTTTAATGTTTATGTGCACTTTTTAAAAACAAATGTATGTACTTTTGTTTGCATGCTCTAAGTAGGGGATAATTTTCGATGAATTGTGTGGCAGAAATAAGTTAGAGCTGGCTTCAACATATTGATTGAATATCAGTATTCAAATCCACTTTATGATTTTTTTTTTTAACAATTCAGAAAGTACAGAAAGATAATGATATGATAAGATAATGATATGCTGGCACTGATAAGCTTTTCCTTTACCTTCAGTATAATAGATTCAAATTTATTTTTGATTCTCCTGTAAGGTTGCAGGGGTTTTTGAGGTCACCCCGCCGTTGTTGGGGGTGGCATGTTTTTCTTGTTTTTTTTCCTTGTATTTTGTGTGTTTCTGATGGTCCCTGTTGGACTTCTTGAAATAGCAGCTTTTGATGTAGTTTGTATGATGCAGTAAAATCCAGAACTGGAAAGAATTGAAAAGGCCTACCATATGAGAATTCGTAACTTATCATTGCTATGGCTCCCTGTGTCTTAAACACCAATTAAATTAAAAGCATATTTTGTATATAGAAAGTTCCAGTTATATAGTTTGTTGGTTTTCAAATCACATTTTTTAAAGAACAGTTTTCTTGTGAAAGATTGCAAAAAGAAAAGAAAAAAGGTTAAATTAGCGTTCCCTGCTGAGTCTCCACATGCACAAAATAAAGGTACACACACATCTCCAAGGTCAGTAGGAGAAGTGCTTGTCCTTTTCTTATATGGATCATAACTTGCACGTACTCACTTTGCATGGCTTGGGCAAAAAATCCCGGATCTTTAGCAATTCTAGTAAGTAGCAAGCAACTTAATAAGCCTGTCTTCCAGAATAAGATTAGAAATAGTGGAGGGCTTATAGGGTTTTGGGGTTGGTTTTTGGTTTTTTTCTGTTTGGAGGGTGGGTTGGTTGGTTGGTTGTTTTGGGGTTGGGTTTTTTTTGTAGTCCCCCAGAAGAAAAACTCTTCTTGGCAGGACTAAGTCACTCATTTGAAATTAAGTAGGGGAGTATTTTGAAATTTCCATTTGGAGTTGTCTTTTGGGGTGTGGTGTTTTTTTTTTTTAAAAAAAAAAAAAACCCACAACACTAAAAATCCTTGTTTTCTCCATGTGAAATGTTTTAAAAACTTATCCATATAGTATTCTTAGGGAATGCCATCTATTACAGCATTTGGCTCTATTATATTGAATGTAAGCATGCACCACTTTAGCTGTGCTGTTTTTTCCTCCTTAGCTCCACAGTCTCACCAGTGGTATTCTTGGGGTCCACCTAATATGCAATGTAGATTGTGTGCATCTTGCTGGATTTATTGGAAGAAATATGGCGGCCTGAAAATGCCCACACAGACAGATGAAGATAAACTGTCTTCCAGCCAACCTACAGAGGTAGGATTGCATAGATAAAATTTCCTAAAATGAAATGTGGTGCTTTCAGAAGACTGCTGGGATTCGATTACTTAATGGAATGGTTTTTTATGTGTGTGTGCGTGTCTTCAAACTTTAGTGTTGCAAAGCATAATTTACTAATCCTTTTCCCATCTTAAGTAGAACTGAACAGTGTGCGGGTCGTGCCATGGCTTTATATGACCAAGTCGTAGATAAACAAACATCCACTTCATGCATTTTTTTGTGGACAAATGTCATCTTGTCGATCAAATGGTGTGTTATCTATAAAATGTTAATATGACTATACTGTATCTCATATAGAATGGCATTATATGTCCACTCACAGTAGAGCTTCCTACTGTGTTACACAGCTTGTTGCCTAAGCCCCACTTTTTTTTTTGTATAATGCTCATCCATATTACTTGATTAACCTTGTAGATTTATCCAAATTGTGGATTTTTTTAATGCTGTAATTTACATGTATGTGTTACGGTTTGTTTGTTTGGTTTGTTCTATTTTTGTAGGAGTCCCATGTTAGAACTCATATGTCCCGGCAGGCCACACAGGGAACTCCAGTTCGTAACACTGGAAGTCCGAAGTCGGCAGTGAAAACACGTCAAGCTTTCTTTCTTCACACAACGTGTTGGACAAAACTGGCCCGTCAGGTCTGCAAAAATACCCTCCGGCTGCGGCAGGCAGCAAGACGTCCCTTTGTCCCTATTAACTGTGCTGCCATTAAGGCAGAATGTAAGATGTTTTTTTAATTCTTAGTTCTGTGTGCTGTGCTTCCCACCCATTTTTGTCTTTTAATTTTATTTTCTTTTTCAATAAACATTTCTTGTCTATACGCTTTTGCTTTTCATTTTTTCATTTGTCCAGCATATCACCAACACATTGGATAAAGTCTGGCTGCCTTGAACAGATTTCAGGCTGGGGGAACAATTCAGTGAATTAAAAGGGGAGAGCTATTACCTCATTCACTTAAAAAAATTGCCATTAAAAAAAAATTGGGGGCAGGGAGGGGAAATCAATGATGTGACATAAAAAACATGTTTCCTGCTAGGCAGTGTGAAAGAAGTTCGCTTTTATATTGTTCATTTATTCTTTTGCTGAGCAGAAAGTATAGTTCTGTACATGTTTTACTTTTTCTCAGTGGGGTTGGTCAAGGAATAAGGAGCTGAGGATGCATAAGAATTATAAATCTGGCCTGTAACACAGCCCTTTATTACTGTGATCAGATGGTGGTGATAGCCACGTTTATTACTTCATCATAGTTGCATCTTTTTTTTTTTTGTCTGTTCCAGTTTTAAATTTTAGTTTTAAATAAAATTCTGTATTATGCTTGTTCTTTTTTCATCGCCAAAATATAAAGAACCGATAAATTCACCGGTAGTATGACAAAAGGGTATGAGTTGTTGTAGACAGCAGCAGTAAGACTCTCTGTGTGCACGTGTGGGTAAGCTCTGCTGCAGAGTCACAAAAAAAATCAGCAGGTTTTGCATCTGCACTGAGTGCGTTGTACTGCTCACGCTGTTCGGTTATGTTTCGCAGTCTTCCATAGAGGCAGTTCTCGGAGCAGACACTTGGTATTCCAAAATGTGCTGTGGCTGTCAATTGTGTTAGAATTGAAGACACCTCTTTAGAATATTAGATGTTGGGTTTATAACCATGTTTACTACATTAACGCTAAGTGTTTTCCTGGCATATTTAACTGGGATGCTGATGAGGTCAGTGTTAGTTCTAAGAAATTTACTCCACAGAGGTTTAAAAGCTGGGTTACAGTAATTTTTTTTCCCCTTATGTACTTTAATACCAGCTATTCTTCACATGCAAACTTCACCTACTTCTGCAGTTATCCAGAACTTGGTAAATATTTCTGTTCGTTGTCCTTGTCTTATTTATTTAGTTGTCTTGTTGGCCATTTTCTTTGTTCTTTAAAAGCTTTGCAGGTCAGGAGCAACTTTCATGTTTAAGGAAACCATATGTCCACTGTATGAATAAAGTGAATTAGACTTTCATGGAAGAAGGGTGTCTGAGGCTGGACTAGGATTATATTTTTAATCTTTAATACAAAATAACAGTTATTTTCTGAGAGGAAAGCATTGTACCTTTTAATTTATGTAATTGACACTGATATTTGCTGAATCATGGAGGAAAATTAATTTTAGAAATTCATTTGAATCTTTTTATCCATATCCCTATTTCTTCTCACTCACTGCAGTAACTCAACTTGAAAGAAGGTGAAGCTTTTGTTTAAGGAAGAAAATAAAAATAGAAGGAAAAAAAAGTTTAATCCAACTGTTAATCATCATACTAGCAAAGTGTTATATACGCAGTTCAACTTCAAAACAAAGGAGTGAAAAGCTGAGCTTGTATCAGACTGGCAGTGCTATGAGTGCTTCCTCTTTGTTCCTTTGAATGAGAAAGTGCCATATCAGATTAACATCAAGAGCAGAAAGATCTTTTTCCCCACCCCTGTAGTCTCTGTCTTTCATTATTCTTTTTACATAAAGCAAAATTTGGACCTTGCAATTTCATCTTTTTGAATGCACGTTCTTCCTGATTAGGCCTACCATAGATTGGGGAAAAAAAAAAGTCACAGTTGTCAGTACTTTTTGAACACAACATTCAAATTATTTTATAATAGTGGAAAAAAGATTATGCCTCACTTAATTCAGCTATACACACACACACACACGTACTCTGTTTCTGGTAATATCTCTGTCTGTGGAATCATACAAACCTGCATTTTCATTGTCATTCTTCTAGTAAAGCCTAGTAAGCAAGTAAGTAAATTGTTTTCTAGTTTTGTTCCTGTACTTATATCTGTGACCTGTGTTCACTCCACTCTGTTGATTTTAATGTTATAACCATATAGGCGCTCTCTTCCTGAATGCCTTGAATCCTTTTCTAAGGATAGCTTGATGCAAGCAATTTTTAATTTTTTTTTTTAATTTTTAAATGAGATACTTAATTAACAGTAATGTTTTGGTATGTTGAATACCACTGAGTAGTTACAAGAGTGAATCAGTCTCTGTGTTGCTGTTAACAAAAGTCACAATCGTGCTTGGGTAATACCCTGGCCAGAGTAGCAGGTTGCCCTTGATGTGATATGGCATGAAATGATGAGGACATCCAAGAACTGTTTTGGAATTTGTTCGCCGTGTTGGCGTGCTTGAAGCGTTGAGTCTAATGACTGCTTAGATGCTTTGTCTGACTCACCTGAGTCTTTGTGTGTGCCAAGCCACTGCTTGAAAACATAACTGTATTTCACAACTATATTGCAGTAGGCACCATACCAAGACTCAGAAACCATAAAATCTAAAGGCAGAAGACTGGTAGGGCACTTCCTCCAGCAGCGTACCAGGTTTTATGCTGTCTTAGTTTTACGCAGTTCGTTGAAGTGCCAGGTTGTAAAGGAAACTAATTCCCAGTTCTGAGAAAGTAAGTCTGAACAAGCCAGTCAGAGCTTGCTCATAAAGTAAATTGATTTCTGCATTCCACCTGAACTCATCTGCAGATAGTTCTTTTTTCTTGGAGGGGCATGGAAGCCTCTGAGAACGCTGATCTCGGGCCCGGCATTCTTCTGGGTGTAAGCAGATCTCGGGCAGAGAATTTCTTATTGTTGTAATTCCACCCACATAATCTCCCTCGGCCCATTACATCCACTGGCAGAAAATGAAGTCCTATTCTATGTTCTTTATTCCTTCAGTTAGTGCAGAGAATTAGATTTTTCTCATTAATGAACCATATAGCACGACCCCTGCTCAGAAGCCAGCAGGAGGTAGTGGAGACGATGCGTCTACATCCCAGTTTAATCTAGGGATGGTCACCAGGAGCCTGAGGAAGCATGGCATCTCCTGCTAGGAGCACGACCCATCACGGAAATCTCAAACTTTGTTCTGCCTGAAGAGAATAGACTCGTTGTAGTTGTTGACAACAAACTTGTCTGATGGATTTTCAGGAATAATTAGAATTGGTGAACTGTTTCAGTAAGAGGAAATTCCCATGCTCTAAATTAGGCAAAATAACCTTTTTAGTTTGAATGTACTGCACGTTTTTTAGAAAGTTAAGCAAAACTATCCCGTCTATGGAAGGTCTCTTAATTAAGAGGAAACCGAAGTGGGCATTCTGCTCCAGACAGTCACTGATGAGATTGGATGTGTTTCCAGCCTACAAGCCTGTTGATGTATGCGTGGCAGTGAGCCATGCATCTCTGCACCTTATTACTTCAGCACAGGAAGATTTTTGCAGGGATTTTTTTCTTTTCCCCTGTGCGGGTATAGTTTTATCAATATAAATATACATATTAATTATAGTAATTTAAATTTGTGTAGCTACACTCCGTCTATGTAGACATGATTGTCAAAATGTTTTCAGTGGATGGTAATATATTATCTGTATAATATATATAGTTATCTGGAAATGGGTATACTGTTCATGATCAAAGCTTAACATACCTTCAAATCTGCAGATTTAATAACAAGTTTGGTTCACAGTACCTGCTTGTTATGTTCTGTTTTGATAAAACGAGAGACAAGCGAAAATTAAGTAGAATATGCAAAATGTTACTGATTTGCCTTTGTAAGCATACAGTCTATGTTTAACTGATATAAAACTACCCATTCATCTGAAGTTGAGTAATATTTATGGGTATTGGTTCACAAACAATGTTTTACATCCTTGATTTTGATAGCTACAGAAGATATTTTGGCTGCATTTAGGATTTTTCTACTGTTATCTTTGAATACAATTTGTGCCAGATTTTAGTAGCCAGTAAAATAATTAAAAGAACACACAATCTTTTCCCCAAAGTTTCTAAGAAGAATACAATTGAGGGAATACATAGCACACGGTACATCTATTAGATAATCTGAATTTTGATAGAGATATGATGGGATGTCAAAGAGAAATAACTCCCCAATGAAGAGTCTTTCTGAGATTGAGACCTAAAAATCTAGTTTAAAAAAAAGAAATAATTTAAAAAAATGCTTTCAAATCTAAAAGAAGAAGCCTCATTCGCTATCATCTTCTGCGTAGCATTCCTGATTTTTTTGACCTCTTTAATACAACAGCCTTCTCTTTTCTAGGTTAAGAACTTGGTCTGTTTAAAACCTCGTAAAGAATCCATTTCACACTGTGGTTCGTAATACTGTTCCCTGGAGTTTTCCTAATTGTGCTGTATCCTCTTTAGGGTTATGGTGCCCTAAATTACATGCACTTCAAGAAACAGGTTTCCCATCATTTTAGAGTGTGTCACATGTTTTCTATTTTCCTATCTTCATAATTTCTAATATTCTGATTTTAATTTTTTTCTAAGTGACTGCTCTTCAGTATTGTCTAGATATTTTTAGAAAGTTGGCACTGACTCCATGAATTCTCTTCTGCATGGCAGTGGCGTAGAGCCTATAAAAATATAAATTTGTATGTTACAGTCATTTTGCCCCTTAAGAATTAATCTTATGTTTATTGCTTGATGCTGCTAATATCCTTTGCAATCAGTTTTAGCTTTGATTATGCTCAGTAATTTCTTATCAGGAAACTTTAACTCTCTAATCACCTCTTTTTCCGATCTTTTAATGTGTTGAACAGCACAGATCCTTTGAGGGTTACATAGACAACTTTAACCAGGTGCTGATCCCTGAAAAAAATTCTCTTTTACTCTGTAACAGCTGGACAGCCAACGGTCTTTGGTGACACAGTTTGTTCAAAGCTATTTGAAATGCCGTGTTGGATGCCAGATCTGCTGCATGTGTACACGTCACGATTCCTTCAGAGAGGATCCTGGCAGACCTGTGGCACTTGCATTGACTGGTGTACAGCATGTGTAGGTAGGAGGGGACCTCTGGATGTCTCTAATCGCTCCCCTGCACAAAGCTTGAGTGCTCAGGGCCTTTTGTCCAGATGAGATTTGTGTAACTCCAAGGACAGAGACTCCATGGCTTCTGTGGGCACTTGTTCCAGTGCTTGATCAGCCTCGCAGTAAATAACCTTTTCTGTACATCTGATGAGAATTTCCTATCTCCTGGCTTCTTTCTGTTGCCACAGACAGCTGTTGTCCTATCCCTACGTACCTCCAAGAAGGATCTGGCTTGGTCTTCTCTATGTTCTGCCACTGGGTAGTTACAGGCAGCAATCAGATCTCCCCTTGGCCTTCTCATCTCAAGGCTGACCAGACCCAGTTCCCTCAGACTCTCCATGTACATCCTAATACCGCTACCCCAAACCAGGCTCTCCAATAGCTGGACTTTCTCCAGTACATCCATATTTTATAGCGGGGATGTCAGAACTCGCCGCAGGGTCTGGACGTGGTTTCACAAGGGCCGAGTAGAGGGAAGGGTTACCTCCCTCGCCCTGCTGGCTGCAGTCAGGCTACCAAGACCCAGTGGGTGGCCGTCCTTCTTGTTGCAAGGACACGCTGCTGAATAATGTGAACGCATTAAACGTGTTTTCCATTTACAAGGTCTTTGCTGGCTCCCTTGATGTTTCCGTGTTTAACCGTATGCCTCTATTCGTAGTTCACCCCCTTTGCCGGTGTGCAGTTACTTACTGAAAAATGTTATCACTCTTGCCAGGTGTTTGTTCTCTTGAGCCAAGACGAGTCTAAGCATTAGTTAAACACCAGTAGTGTACGTGCTAACCAGTTTCTGTTTGGATGAGTTCCACCTGGTCCTGGTAACTTTTTTTATTCATTAACCAGTTTGTTGTGAAGTATTTCCTACGGACTCTTCGATGTGACGCAGTTCTCACTTTCCTCGTAAAAGCATTTTAGAAGTGAACTTGTTTAAGTTCTGCATTGAACATGGCTATAAAGAATTCATTTAGGTTTTCTGCCATGCCTTTATCTTTCTTTTATATTTTTCTCACGCCTTGATCATCGAGGCACTGGCACACTTTCTGCTTTTGATATGTTTGAAAAAATACACTATCTAATGTAATGCTTCAATTCTTTCTCTTTTTTTTAATAGATTTTTTATTTCTCATAGCTTCCACTATTTCACTGATCTTTCTAAGATTTTTAGTTTTCATGTGGAAGCCCATATTTGATTTTAGGACTTTTTTAAAACTCTGTGGTTGACAGGTCCTGCCTAAATTTTATTCTATGGTTTTACACTCGCAAGTGATGCACTATCTAACTTTGTGTTTTTCTGTATGTAGTGCCTAGAGATCATAAACTTTATTATATTTTTCATGGGAGTATCATATTGTGGATTAAATTTTGCTGCTGTTAAACATATTTAACTGTTTTAATAGATTGGCGTGCTTTGGAATACCCACCCGGTACCTTTGGTGAACACGCTTTGCCTCAAGCATGGAATTTGTGCTTTCTTTGCAGTCTGTATTCTCAGTCAGCATATTAATATCTCCCCATGATTCAATGTCTTTTTTTACAGTGAAGACACGTAGATGGAAAATTTTTTTGCTAATTACTTCTTAGGCGATGCTTTGCTGTTCCCAAAGTAGCTATAAAATACTCACTGTATAGTCTGTGCTTATTTTGCTAAGGGAGACGGTGGAGACACATCGTTCTACTCTGTCACTTAAAATATTTCAAGTGTTGTGGAATACTAAAAGTATTCCAGGCACCCGGTTCAGCGCATTTTTTTCACTAAGAACAGGATATTTTGTTATTAAGGTAAAATAATAAAGTACTTTGTGTACTCAGCATTAGAGCTCTGGAACCTTTGGACTTCCCAGATACCAGCTACTGTTTATGTGTGGCACATGTAAGAATTTCAAGTAGTTTCCTTAATAATATGGAACTAAGTTGTGCATTGTCTGCTGCATTAAAAAACATCTGTGAACATAGTGAAATATTTCAGTCATTGCTGTGGTTTCATGACCTACAAGTTTTTTGCCCATAGCTAGATAGAATACATAAAGAGAGTGTAAATTTGGGTTTTTTTTCTCAAATGTGAATTGTTCTATATAGCATCTTATCCTCTTCATGAGCCTGTGTACTCCATATCTTGCGCTGGAATGAAACAAACAGGAACATTATGGCAAAATAAGGTGGGGACAAGGTGGAATTACAGTTATAATAATCTCTTTATAGCATCTAGCTCTTGTAAAGCTGGTTAGAAAATGCAGATCTGCATGTGCACGTATGAAACCTATACAAAGAAGGGTGTACATGTAGCTATGTGTGTGCGGGAAGTAATTCCCTGTGAGGGAATTCGAGATCCACACAATCAACATAGGAGCACAGTTTTGTACAAAACAGAATACCTGTGCTCTAGGGGTACTGGATGCCCTATATGGGGTTTACTTATGTGCTTTTGGAAGACAGATAACGCAATCATTCTGAGTAGGTTTTTTTTTAAAAAAAAAGATAGTATAGTTCAGTAGTCTTGAAACTATTTATGGAAACCTGATGTCTTGTGGATTTTTGCCTTAGGTTGAGTGGCTCCGCTGTTTGAGCGTGAACTTCTTCATAGTAACACTTCTGTGTTCGGGGCATTTAGACAGATTCTCTGCTTGTGTATTCGCAGTGCCTTTAAGTTATGAGTTCATAGTTTTAGCATCAAGTTCAGATAGCTACTGAATTGCTTATTTTCATTAACTTTGCAGGAATTTCCTATCTTTGAAACCTTTGAGCTCTGTCATACATGGTTACAATTGACTACTTTGCTCAGGAGTTTACAGTAAAGGGTTTTTTGGGGGTTGGTGTTTTGGATTTTTTAAGCTTCATCTCGCCGTGATAGCCCCTGTGTCCTGTTCTACTTATTAAGAATGATACGAATCACCATACCATGTGAGCAATGCATGACCAAAATCAGTAGTCCCAACTTTAAATTCCTCTTACCTCTGTATGACCCCCGTTTAGGGCCAGACAAGCTTGTAGAAAACAATGAAGAATTCCATGTAAATTCTTTTTAATAGCCAAAGCTGCTTTTATTTTACTACTCGTGTTTTCACCTGTGTTTCATTTGCCTAGCTGACTGTCTCCAAAAAGACTTTGTAGGCAAAACGTTCAATCAGAGTTGTGTTAGAACCTATATTAACTTAAAAAAAAAATAATCATAACACTGCCTGCATGAACGAGGGCATGGCCTGCATTTACATATCTCATTTTTAGCATTGATGGAAAAGCAGAATACATGCTAAAAAGAAGTTTGTGATAAAAATGTAAGGCTGAAACTGGTTGGTGCATCCTAATTACATTTGTAATGGTAGAATATTTAAACTGAGTTTCATTCTTTAAAATTCTCAGATGCAGATCGACATTGTGAAGTTGCTGGAAGTCCTCTGAAGATCAAAAGCACCAGAAAACCACTGTCATGTATCATTGGGTATTTAGGTGGGTATCTGCCTCCAGAGGAAAAAATGAATCAAATGAACATTCAGTATGTTCTGATACTTAAAAATCCTGTATGCATAAAATAAGAGATTTATGCTTGTAGTAAAAAGAAAATTATCAAGGTAATAAATTAATAAAAATTCTGGTCTGCTATCAGTTGCAAAACTGGATAATTGAACTTGCAGGATGTAGGCAGAAAGCCTTCTGGTACTGGTTTAAAATGGCAGAGTGAAACATGATGTAATTTAGAATGTGAAAAATATTCTGGTTGTCCAAATAAATAAGCACTGAAAGGGGAAATGAGATACTCGGTATGCTCAGTGCTGCTCTCCTGTGTCCCTTGAATCCACTTGTAATGCTCCCAAATACTTGAAAGGAGCAGACTTCAGCCACGATGAGACACTGATCTCTTAATTTGATGACATAACTTTAACAGATGCAATGAAATCTGTCCCGAGATCATCGCCAGGAGGTCAAGGTACTCACATAAGATAACAGGGAGAGGAGAAATTCTAGTACTTGTGGTTCCTTATTTAAAAAATGAAAGTAGTCCTCTTTGCAAGGAACCACCACTGACTATTAAATATTTACGTAATCATATGAGTGAGTGGTGGGGAACCCTAGAGGCTTTGTATTAATCTTCAAATATAAAAATCAAACCATTGATCAGAATAATGAATAATTCTGCAGTGTGTTAATCGCATTTTACAGAAGTAAACTGGAGAGTAGAACTCATTCTAAATGTTTTTCTCAAAATTTCAATCAACAGGAGGCTTTTTGTACTAGGATGAAGTAAACAATAACAGTCCCTCGACTTGAAATAGAAATCAACTATTAATGTAGTTACAACTGTTCCTCCAGAACATCGAATTTAACAAAATCCAAAATTCAGAAAACCGGGTAATGAAGAATTAATGCCCACTCTCACTGAATTTTGATTCCTCCTGCCCTGGAGTTTAAGAAAAAAGCCAGTGATAGTTTCCTACAGGCATCCCAGCTGTGTGCGTTACCGATGTTGTCCTTGGGGTGAGCGAGGAAAGGACTGCTTGGATGGACTTGGTGGAGCTGTGGCTGTGAGAGGGGGGAATCCGGCTGGAGATGGATGGTTTGTCCAGCAGGAGATGGATGGTTCCTCCAGCTGACCCCATTTTGGGTTGCCAAAAGAAGAAACGGCAGCGTGTGTAATCTTAGAAGATGCTGCATGTTTTTACTGCCTCGTAACTTAGTTGGTGAGGGGTTGTCTTGATACCTCTGTGAGCATAAGACGGTGGGTTTAATGGGAGTGAATGAATGGAGAGCGTAAGACAGCGTTACGTGTACTTAGGTGGAGGTTTTGTAGAAGATGAACAGTGGGAAAATACACCAGGTATCTGTAGAATCCACTTAGCATTTGACTGTGTGGGAAGTGAAGGTATCTCACAACAGCTGAAGGTAAATAGTATGTGTTGCAGGGATATGAGGTGTACCCAGTGTAGTTATGGACATGCACCTGAGTTAGCTGTGTAAGGATGACTAGAAAATGGCTTTTTGTTTGCCATTTAGCTTGGTCTTTGTTTGTTTGTTGGGGTTTTTTTTTACTTTGGTTTGTGATGGTTTTTTTGTTTGTTTGGGATGTTTGTTTGCATGCTCCAGTGATTAAGTAAGGCTTGCATTATTTTCCTCATAAAATTTAGCATTAACTACCATACCATAGCTTATACATGAGGTATTTTATTTTCTTTGTAAAATTCCTTCTCTGCCATTCCCACAGACGTTTATTGGAATACAGTTAACTGTGTCTCTCAGAGCACTGCAGTTTTCAGCCCTCCTAGCAAGGCAGAGAGGATTTCGGTGCCCTGCTCACCCTGGGTCATCTCTTCCCTTTATCCCTGTTCTGCTTCTTGGCTGCCAGTGCCTCAGGTGAGGTAGGTTAAGCATTAAAAGTAGGGCCTGTCCTCTAGAGAGCTGGGGCTAATCCCCGCTAATCTCTTCAGTCATCACTGTGCTTACTAAACAACCCCCCCAAGGGGAGCCCTTGGCTAATTAAATGTCCTCTATTACCTCCTAGTTATGAGGAAACCAGGCTAATGTTTCCAGCTGGGATGCATGTCGAGGAGATGAGATGATGAGAGAGATGCAGCTGCTTAAGCACCTCTGGAATCCAGGATCCTTATTTAAGTAATTCCATAGGAGACTTTGACTTTTCTTTGTTTGCTTTGGAATTTGTAGGTTTTTTCACCCTAGTGACATTAGTGGAAATAGAAGTTTTTAGAGTTGTTATTGCTAATACTTGTTTGAGGCTGCAGCCTGGTCTTACAAGAAAGGTTCCTAATAGATTGTTCAAGTATTGTTTCTTATTCCTGTTCTATTTTTATTTCAGAAATGATCATGTAATCTGAATCTGGGCAACTTATCATTTGAAAGGGATAATTTGGATTATTTGGAAGTTATAGTTAGTTCTCTGAGTTAGCAGAAGGTGCAGGTGGCTAGAAGGGTCTCAGTGAAGTACTAGGAGGAAATAAAATGTCCCTAATTACGATTAATCCATAAAGCAGCAATATGATGGGTTAATATAATTCAGGCAAAACCCATGAAATGCCTCATTACTTCTCCCAGGGGGTGATGAACCGGCTGGTTAGAAAGTGCTGACCTAAAGCGTGCAAATACGTGAAGCGTGTGTAGAGGATGCGTGAGTGTACGGTGTAAAGACCCCACAGGAAGGACTCGGTCCGTTGGGAAGTGGTCCTGGCTGTTTAAGTTCCTTTCTAGAAATTAAGAGGAGAGCTTGGTCTTGCTGCCTTCCTCTACTGCAGAAAGAGAGAGGACAGCCTTTGTGGTAAACTAACGGAGGGTCAGTGACCTCCAGACTGAAGAGAAGTCAAAGGAAGGAAATGCGTCCTTCTTCAACTCTTCGCTCATCCTGAAGATATAAAATTCTGTCTCCTGTACAGTGTAGACAGAAGCAGTTTACAAGTTCTCATATGTTGATCCAGCTGCTGGGCTTATTGTGGATGCTGCTGGAGCTCATAGGCAAATAAGGTAATATTTTTAGTGGCATTAGGCCTGAAAATTAATAATGTCCTTCAGAAAATTGGAAAATATTGCCAAATGAGTATTTTAGAATCCACATTCCAGTCATCTTCAGCAAACAGTGCAAACCTTTCTATTTCAGTTGAAAGTTTTGCTTTAGCAATCAGCAGTGTTCACAACATTAAGCACACCTCTGTGCCCATTTTAGTAAAAAATCAAAATAGGTGCTCGTTCTCTACAGCATGAAAAATGGGCCGTGCCATGAAATCTGCTGGGAGCTTGGTGTTCCTACACTTTCTTGTTCCTAAACTCTCTTCCTAAACTGGTGTTGCTGACCTCCAGCCTGCAAAGGCTGGCCGTGGCAGCGAGAGCGTGAGGCCGGGCAGGCCAGCGCTTGGATATTGGATTTCCTTGGCATTTGTGAAAGAGGGAAAAATCTGCTATCGCAGTGGACTTTGACCTGGTGCAATGGTTTCTGTTTCTCCTGCGTGATAGCTGTGAATAAGCAGCGGCTGGAGGGCCTCCTCCTTGGATACCTGGCCTCACTTTAGAATTTGCGTATTCCCAGCTTCTATGCTTTATTTTATTTAAAAAAAAAACCAACAAAACAAAACAAAACAAAACAAAAAACAAAACCAGAAAGGAGCATTTTCATTTCAGGCGATGCAAAATGATTTTTTTTTTTTTTTAATCTTTTCTTACCCCCCTTGGCTAGCTGACTCCTGATCCATCTCCCAGCCCCTCTGCCCTCACATTCTCAGCCCAGAGGTCTCTTCTGCTCCGTGGGGCAGTTGGGTGCTGAGCCGTAATTGGGCTGAAGCGCCTCGCAACCTGCGTGGTGCCGGCAGCTGGTGCCAGAGGGATGGGGACCTGCCCTCAGGTGGTATGACTTCTCTCACAAATTTGGGTCTGCCCGAGGACATATGCAGTGCTGGGTTTTTGAACCCAAATGTGTGATGAGAACAAGGTAAAGGGGTTCAGCCAATTCCTGGGTGAAGGACAAGCGGACTCTACTGAGGCTTCCTTTTGCCACTTCTCTCTGGCAGATAACTGAGAAATTTCATAGAATCATAGCATGGTTTCGGTCGAAAGGGACCTTAAAGATCCTCTAGAGCCAACACCCTGCCTTGGGCAGGGACACCTCCCACTAGACCTGGTTGCTCGAAGTCCCGTCCAACCTGGCCTTTAACACTTCCAGGGAACATTTCCACACAACTGTATCGGCTGTTGGCAAACACAGCAGCTGCCACCCTGAAGTGTGCTGGCCAGATGGGTGTCACTGCCTCCTACCCACCTTTCTTCTTCCTTCCTTCCTCAAAATAATCCTACTCCGTGAACCACATTATAAACTCTGAGACGTTTGAAGATCCCCAGTGATGACTCTGTGTGGGAATCCACATCTGGGGAACACAGTGCAGTCTTAATGATTTTTGTGTTCCTGCTGCAGTTTGGGGGTGGTTTTAGCTTCAGAGCCCTGCTATGACTGTGAAGCCCTGACTTCTGCACCTAGTGACTTCGTGTTTGGGAAGATCACTCAAAAGTTGTTCTTGTTACAGAAAATATTGAGTAGCTTGAGGTATTGAGGTGATTTCAATGTAGTAAAATGCTTTTATTTGCTTGCTTAAAAAGCTGTAGGTGTGTAGCTCCAGTACAAACCTCAAAATGGTAGGAAAATGTAAACACAGACCTGTTTCAGATTTATTTATATTATCTCTTCAGTCTCTGAAATTGTTACACATGTACACCATAATATTGATCTCTGGCAACCTAAAGTGAAATAGATTTTTCTTACTTGGAAGAACTGTAGGTAAGAAGACTCATGTTTGAATTGTTATTCAAGGTCTTGCAAACACACTCATGCTGAAGAAGGTCCTTTCCTTTGTCGAGAAATTGAAATGTAAATTTATGTTGAACAGACTATTTTTATTCAGTTATTTTTGAAACCAAGTATGTGTGATCTCTCTCTCTCTCTCTCTCTCTTTTGTCTCAAACAGAGATTCATCCTGCAGTGAAACCCAATGTGATCAGGTCAACACCAAGCCTTCAAAGTCCAAGTGCAAAACGACTGCTTGCACCTTCCACTCACTCTTCACTAAGTATTTTGGGAAAAAGAAACTACAGCCACCATAATGGTCTTGATGGTATGTGAAAGAATAGAAAAGAAATATGAAGTCTCTGAATTGCAAAACTTTCAGTAGACCTGAGATGACAGTAAAGAAAGGGGGTACAGACTGACAGAAATGTAAGATATGGATGGCGTATTTATAGCATTGATTCTTAATGCAATGAATGGTGGTGCTTATTCATTGAACGTGGATGTATTAATGCCATCTCTTCCAAAAACTACTTTTACCATTTTTCTTGCTGATCTTGATATAAAAGGACAAGAAAAGAATAAAACAAATTTGGTGAAGGCAGAGATGCAGCAAATGCTTTATTTCAGTTTATTCCATTGCATTTTTATTTGAAGAAATATTTTGCAGTGATATGCGAGACCTTTTGAATTACTCTGTGTGAAATTACTTGATAGGTAATTGCTAAATTAAAAATTGCTAAATCCTGGACCTGCTAGTTTACAGCCAATCTCTTCGTGGTACGTGAATTCTAAATGCGGCTTAGCCTGGATTCTCAACACTGTGATGGGTAACAGAGGGGGAATACCTTTTGGCATCTTGCTTCCCAGGACCGGTGTCACAGAGGCAGTTAAAACAAGAAGTAGTCCTGGAAGCAAGGACTGGTGGAAGGCAGGAGCTCCTTAGAAAGAGGCTGTCCCTGCATTTATACCACTTGCAGGGGAGGAAGCAAAAGGAGGGTCACAGAGGTACAGGAGAGGCTTTTCCTGTGCACTGTGCAGCACCCGAGGTCATCTTTAAGCCTGGTGTATCCAGACACTTCATTACAGCGTGGTGCAAATGGAGAGCAGCGATGAAGCTGTACAAAAAAATGATGGAAATTTGTGGATAAGGCTAACTTTTCTCAAATAATCTTTATTTTTTATTCTGAAAAGTGATTGTTTATTACTATTTTTTATTATTATTATTACCAAAAAGAAAGATTTTCAACTGGAACTGTGAACAGTTTCCCTTCATGTCCAAAGAAGAGGAGAATCCAGCAGGGTATCGTTTGTCTGCACTGAGAAGAAATGCATGCGTTCCCTGAACTCTGTCTTTGTGAGATGTAACTTCTGTAAGCCATTAGCTTATTTGTTCTGTAATTGAATATGGTGGTTGAGATTAGAAATCTGAAAGAAGTTACGCTTTGAAATAGACCGTTCAGGACATGATCTGCACAAAAGAGGTGACTGTCTGTTTTCGTGCTTTACAGAACAGGTCGAGGTAGAAATGAGAGGGACTCTTTTTAGACAAGCTAATAGGAATAGTATTCCAAATACAGGAAGGAAAACTTGATCTATTATCCATCATCTTCCCGTAATGATCATGCTTTTCTGTCATTGCCAGCGCTCTTTGTATCTTGCAGTGAAGATATCTACTGGATGTTTAATAATACCTAGATAGAAATCACTGTACTTTGACAAAAAGTGGTTATTTAGCATATAGAGAAGAGAGGATCGCTCGGACGTCTGCTCAGTGTGCAAACAGCCATTACACAGTAGGCAGATAACACACATGGCAACACAAGCTATTCAGTAGGCCAGAGTGGCAACCATGTGACTTGTACTTGGATAAAAAGATGATGCCATCAATAGGCATAGCCATAAATGCTGAATTTTCACGGCGAACTTTGAGTGTGAAGTTCTGCAGTGATGGTCTGGTAGTTCCTGCATGGGAATGCGACGGCTGCTGTCCCCATCCCCTGACGCTGCCCATTACACTGGGCTCGCCACATGAGCTTTAAGTGAGGAATGACTTTCACTTGGAAATAAAGATGATGTTACATCTCTGCTGCAGAGAAACCTTTAGTAATAAATCAAAAGTAAACTTTACTTTGGTGATGTCCCTATAAGGAGGTATGCTTGGAAGTCTAATTTTTTTCTTTTGCGTAGTATGGATGTTCTCTTCAAAGTAAAGAGTTTATAAAACCAGTCATTAGCCACACTGATTAGTTTGTATCAAACAGTCAGCTAACTGCGTTAAGGCAATTTGCACAAAATAACATCTAATTTGAAAAATTGGTATTGAGAACTGTTTTGCTGTATTGCAACTGTAGTGCTTTAGGAGATAATTATTTCTGCTTATCTGTTTTCCGTGAAAACATGACTTACTGGAAAGCATATATCCTAAATAACTGAAATCTCTATTTTGTTAGTGTAAAAATGGCTGGTTTAGTATTTAAAAAGGATTATTTCTGTTCTTATCCTAGCCCCTCTCTTTAATTAAAAGCCTGCAAAGCGTAAATGACATGCAAAGGAAAACCAAACTCTCTAAAACAGTCAGACCAGTAGTAATGATTCTCAATAGCATAGGTCTTCTGTTCCTTTTCACTTAAAAACCCTTACCTGTCATTTTTGCCATTTAGCCTCTTCTCTGGTTATTGGTAAATATTAAATATGTTTTTGGGGCTGTAATGTATCCAGCTTCTCTTCAGTACATGGCAAAAAACTCAGTGACCAGATCAACTTGGGAAATGGTGGTTTCTGTGTAATTGCGCTGACAACAGTGTACTCTCTGTGCAATGAAAGGTTTTGCCAACCTCCAGAGTTTTTGCATTACTATAAATATACTAAAAAGCTTTTTTGGTTCCAAAATACTATGAATTGTTATTGGGTTTATTGCATTGAATCCATTAACAGTATCCAGAAAGCCAACTATGGGAACGATGATAGGTTCTGTCTTTCAGTGCCTGCTTTGATGAAATGAGCAAACAAAAATGAGTGCAGTGGGCTTATATTAAGCATTATCTCTTGCTGTTTTCATAATCTTAATGACGTAGAAATGTCTGCATGGTTAGGTTTGCTTTTTTTTTAACAGTATTAGAAATTTGTTGTAAAGCAGCCATATAAATATGTTTACTTAAGATATACAATAATTTACAGCATTCAAGGAAATGTCACTTAGACTTTTGTAAATATATATTTAGATTGGCATATTTAAAGTCAGCCTTACTGCCTAGATTGAGTTGAGTGCCGTATTTTGACAGAATTTGTTATTAACAAAATAATAATTATTGGCTCAGAAATCAAGTGATGTAATATGGAAATGGCACTTCTTCATGCCTGTATTGGGGGAGATGAATGAGAAACATCATTAGTATTGGGTTTCATGCTTTTAAGAGTAATAAATAAGAACATGATTAGCATTTCTTAGTGAAGTCTTATATTGATTTGAGTCTTTATTTTGACCAGTGCAGCACATTTCCCTTTAATTTTTCCACAGATGCACCTCCAGCAAGAATCTGGTGCAACTGATAGGGATGAAGGAGTCTGTAATTTCTGACTACTATTGCTCGGTCTTTATCAAGAATGATGAGGGAGCACATTTATCTCTTCATAAGTGGTGGGGTTTGTGCCCTGATATCTTGCTATTAAGTGCCCTGAGTGTCAGTCAGTGTAGTCGTATGCGTGAACCCATGTATAAGGCGTAGATCCATCAAATCCAATCCAATCCAAATCCAGATCAATCCAATCAAATTGGACTGCTTAAGCATTGCATTTTGTAATGAGATAGAAGGAAACCTTAGAGTTGTTTGTGTCCATTCTTGTAGAAGAAAGACTTTTTCTGGATGGTCTTAGAAAAGTGTTTTTCTTTTTATTTTCAAACAACAGTAAATCTCGCATTCTGTAAGAAGGAATGAAAAATGCCTGAAAGCTTTTTTTTCCGTCCTGGAAAAAATCACAGTACTTTGGGGAGTTTTCGTGCAATATGCATGCTGGTGCTTTCTACTATGCTGAGATGCCGAATTTCCACTGCTGCTGAAAATAAAGTCAACACGCGGTATTTAAATGCTTCTCAACAGTGAAGACAGTCCCCTTCAAATGGGAAAACTGTCTTCAGAAGATGTTGCAGAATGTTTACGTGTATCCAGTTTTATGACTGGAGTTGACGATGGGAAGATTTAGGTGTGACTGTAAAGTGCTTTGTAGGTATTTTGAATCTGATCTTTAAATTACAGTGTCTGAAATGATTTCAAGCAATTACTTTCACCCACAAGCTGCTTAACTGTGAGCAACAGTACATCCAAGTAGTCGTTTCACGTCAGGCTATTGTTTTGGCAGGGTGAGTAATGATAATTTTCCATATAATATTTGGAAAGATCAGGCAAAGGTATTTTACATAAGTATAATCTCTGTCAACTGGCAGGCGTTTCCTTGCTTTTATATGCATCAGAACCAGAATATCCACAGGATGCCCAAGATATTAACGTCACTAATGAGGTACAGAAATCAGTCTGTGCCTGTTGATACCGTTTTCATGGGCAGAAATAGGAGAAGCGGTTGTTCATAGCTGAAAAGACTTTAATCAACAGCCCTGATCCTCCCTCTCTCTTTCC